CACACACACACACATACACAGCCCCACATACACATACACATTGCCCCACACACCCTACATATTCACTCACTACACCCCCCCCACACACACACTGAACCTTTCACACACACTGCACCACTCACACACACCACTGCTCCTATGCCCTACTACAGCCTCATATCATAGCAGACCCCAGGTAAGTTGTCAAACTGTTTGACTACTTACTTTAAAATTATTTTTAACATTTACTTAGTCCTTAAAGGACCACTATAGGCACCCAGACCACTTCAGCTCAATGAAGTGGTCTGGGTGCCAGGTCCCTCTAGTTTTAACCCTGCAGCTGAAAACAAAGCAGTTTCAGAGGAACTGCTATGTTTCACTAAGGGTTAATCCAGCTTCTGTTGCTGTCTCACTGACAGCTGCTAGAGGTGCTTCCGCGATTCATACTGTGAATGCGTGCGCTGAATTCGAGAATGCGAGAATTTCCCAGAGCCGAGGGAGCCCGGCGCAGGAGAAAGGTAAGTGGTTGAAGCGGGAGGGGGGCACTATAGTGCTCCTTTAATATTTTGTCTTGAAGGGCCCTGGATCTAATTTTGTCCGGGGGCCCAGGAGGCTGTCAGTCCATCCCTGCCCCTACCTCCTGAAGCCTCTACCCCTTGCTCCCATGGCAGCTAGTACCCCCTTGCAGCCCCATACCTCCTTGATCCCTCTGCTCTCTCTACATCCCCTACCCCCTGAAGCCTCTACCCCTTGCTCCCATGGCAGCTAGTACCCCCTTGCAGCCCCATACCTCCTTGATGCCTCTGCAGCCCCTACCCTCTGCTCTCTCTACATCCCCTACCCCCTGAAGCCTCTACCCCTTGCTCCCATAGCAGCTAGTACCCACTTGCAGCCCCATACCTCCGTGATCCCTCTGCAGCCCCTACCCCTTGCTCCCTCTGCAGGCCCTACTCCTTTGCTCCCTCTGCAGACCCTAACCCCTTGTTCCCTCTACAGCCCCTACTCCCTCTGCAGACCCTACTCCCTTGCTCCCTCTGCAGACCCTAACCCCTTGCTCCCTCTGCATTCCTACCCCCTTGCCCCCTCTGCAGCCCCTACCCCATGCAGCCTCTACCTCCTGCTCCCCCTGCAGCCTCTAACCTCTGCAGCCCTAACCCCCTGCTCCTTTTGCAGCCACTATCCCCCTTCTCCTTCTGCAGCCCCCACCCCTGCACCCACTTGAGCTCCTACCCCCCTGCACCCTCCAAAGCCCCAGCACCTACTACAGCCCCTTTCCCCAGGCATCTACTACAGCCCTTATCGCCAGGCCCCCTCTACAGCCCCTACACCCCATCCACCCACTAAAGCCCTATCGCTCCTCTGCACCCACTACAGTCTCTATTTCCTCTGCATCTACTAAAGCACCATTTGTACTCCTGCACTCACAACAGCCCCTGCACTTACTACAGCGCCTATTTCCCCCTGCAATCACAACAGCTCCTTTACCATCTGCATCCACTACAGCAGCATTCTCTCCTAGAACCCTTTACAACCCTTACCCCCTGTCATCCTCTACAGTCCCTCCCCTCTGCAGCCCCTAACCCCCTGCACTCTCTACAGTCCCTTCCTCCCTGCACCCTCTGCAGTCCCTACCCCCTTGCACGCACAAGCATAAAGGAACATTATAGTTACCAGAACAACTACAGCTTAATGTTCTGGTAAGTATAGCCTGCCCCTGCAAGGGTTTGCTGTAAACACTGCCTTTTCACTGCTGCCTAGGAACACGTTTGTATTCCTGACACTATAGTGGTCCTTTAAATTTGGAGGCTTGCATACCTCATACAAACACATTGCCAAAGTTCACAAATATCCCCTTATACATGTTGCCATGTTACACGGACACACATAAAACAAATACAACCCTATTTACCATACCAAATACAACCAAAAACATGTATTCGGATATATTCTGACACTACACACAAAGACATGCATATATTCAGTTATCTCATTTAAACAGAAATATTTGTGTTCAGCGAAGTCTCCCGAGTACAACAGTACCCCTCATGTACAGGTTTTATGGTGTTTTCAAAAGTTACAGCATCAAATATAAGGCTTGCGTTTCATTTTTTTTCACATTAAAATTCACCAGATTGGTTACGGTGCCTTTGAGACCCTATGGTAGCCCAAGAATGAAAATTACCCCTATGATGGCATACCATTTGCAATAGTAGACAATCCAAGATATTGCAAACGGGGTATGTCCAGTCTTTTTTAGTAGCCACTTAGTCACAAACACTGGCCAAAATTGGCGTTTTTTTTGCATTTTTCACACAAACAAATACTAACGCTAACTTTGGCCAGTGTTCGTGACCAAATGGCTACTAAAAAAGACTGGACATACCCCATTTGCAATACCTTGGGTTGTCTACTATTGCAAATGGTATGCCATTATGGGTGTAAATTTAATTCCTTGGCTACTATAAAGTCCCAAGGGCAACGTAACCAATCTGGCGAATTTCAATTTCAAATGTAACTATATTTGACCCTGTAACTTCCCAAAACGCCATAAAACCTGTACATAGGGGGTACTGTCTTACACGTGAGACTTTGCTGAATACAAATATGTGTATTTTATTGCAATAAAAGCAAACAGTATTATGACATTGACAGTTAAAATGTCATGTAGAACTAAAAAAAAAAAAAAACTTATTTTCTCCAATTTATTTCATATTAAATTATGTTTCATAGCTAAATATTTGATATTAAATGAAAGCCCTGTTTACCCTGAATAGAATGATATATAGAAAGGGTGGGTGCATTTAATATGAAAGAGGTGAATTACGGTTGGACAGACATGTAGCGCAAATGCCAGGTTTTGTTTACATTTTGTTTCGTTCGCAACGTGTACATTTGGCTCAGTCCTTAAGGGGTTAAACTGATTTCCAGCATACAGCAGTATGGCTATTTACACCACTTAGTAAATCAAACCCTGTTATGCTTTATTATTAGTGTAATATATTTGTAGAGTTTTTTAAGAAGTAAAGAAATTGAGATTGGAAATTCTAATCTCAAGAGAGACCGTCAGACCAACTGGAGTTCTCTGGATTTCTTAACATTTAAGATTTTATTCCTACTTATTCCTTATTTTTACTTCATCCCATATCACAGAGAAAGCATCAAGAGGCAGCACTCCAGACGATAAAAGATGAAATGAAGCTGATGGAAGAAAAATGGGAAGAGCTTCACAGGCAAAAGACTGAGATGGAAGAGCTAATTTCTGCCTTTTGAATTTTCTAGCTAATGTTTTATTTTATTTTTGTTGTGCAGTGGTACATACATAGATATCGACGATAGTAGGACATTAGGAGATATTGCATACGCGAATATACACAGAAGAGTAAAATCCCACAGTAGAGACATACGATATTTGTCAATAAATCATATATACAATAGGCTTCACAATTTAAAATAATAATCAACTAATATGCATAAGATGACAAACGGCATGTTCATCAGCTGAACTGAGAGAGAGAGAGAGAAAGAGAGAGAAGATTGCAAGCCTCATTGAAAAGAAGAACTGTGAGGAGTTATGCATAGACAATTAGAGGCTTGCACAAAGTGCAAGGTAGAAATAAGAATATAAAATTAGACAGCACAGTGCTAATGGCCCTATACAATCTGAAATCAACGGATTCCCAAGCTAGCGAGAATATTCCCAAAGAGAGATGGTCTCCGTTATCTAAAACAGTCCACTATACCAGCCCTGAGCCTCAGCAAAAGCCTGCATGCAGTGCCCACGGATCTGGTCGCTCCTTGAGCCGAAATCGGAGTCGTCAGAAAGATCTGGACACTGAATGGCATCAGCTGTAGACCCTCCAAGGTTGTGAGCAGTGCACAAAGGGTAGTCCCTCAACTTGAGGCTCTCAACTCAGGTATGCAGAAATGGGTAATAAGATTCGATACAGAGTATCCTAGTACGTTTAATTACAGAAAGCTGCAGTTGGGCTCAAACAATAGTAGGTCGCAAGGCTCCAGTAGATTGGCTTCAACATGGGCCATGGTCTCGCCCTGTTAACTCTGGCATCTTTTTTTTTTTTTTTATAAACTTTTACACACACAAAAAAAAGTTTCTGAAGCAAGAGTACATTAACAAAACATACGTACAAATTTCACAATCTTACAATTTTGTAGAAGACAACTCTTTCCAGTTTTGTAACAACTGACAAGTAACCAAGTAACCAATTGAATAAAGTTTCACACCACCTCCTAGAAGGAAGGAGAGAAGGAAAAAAAAGAAAGAGTATTAATAGCTTCAGCCAGAAAACATCACACACCTTGCCCCACAGGCTAGAGTTCACTCTCCACTGGACCACCAGGGATGGCAGCAGCACGGTCCCTCCTCCCTACATAAGGTAAGAAGGGAGGAGGGATATTAACTAATCTGACCCCACCTCCACCCCCACAATCACCCAAACATACAGCACACTACCAGTACCCTCACACACACACACACACACACACACACATCACACTAACAGCACCCTCACACACACACAGCACCCTCACACAGCAGTGTATGTATGTGTGTGTAATTATATATATATATATATATATACACACACACACATACATGCGACGTATATTTGTGCTTTAGGGGGCACACCCCAGGCCCGGACTGGCCATCGGGCATACCGGCAAATGCCTGGTGGGCTGCAATGGCCGTGGGGGCGAGGCCGGCAGGGGAGATTACAGGATCTCCCCTGCCAGCCCCTGCAGGGCCAGAGCTACCTGAGCGCCCGCCCTGCTGTGTGCCTCCATGGGCCGGTGGGCAGGCTCGGATTGGCCATCGGGCATACCGGGCAAATGACCAGTGGGCCGCTATGGCCATGGGGCCGAGGCCCTCACACTGCACCACTACACACATTACGCTCCAGATACACACTAGATCCCCTACCCTATATGCACTCTTAATCCTACACACACACACACACACAATCTCCTATACACACACTTTGAGTCCATTACACACTAGATCTCCTACACACACACACATTACACCACAAACACAAATGAAATTGACCTATTTACACAATACCACACCACACTCTACACACACGCAATCCTACAAGCAGGCTCCAAACACATGCACCATACACTTTCCTAGCCCTTTTGTGCTCTGGTATCCCACTTGTGGAGACACCAGATACAATTTAAAAGCAAACATAGCGCAAGCATGTTATTAAATTTGCTTGCGCTGCGCAGAACAAATACAGGGCCTTTTTCTAATGCTAGAGCTCTTCAGCGGGGCTCTGCGCATTGAACCAACATGCTCACTTTGAGAGGGGGCGTGCTTGTCATTAGTGATGATAAAACACACCCTCTCTGGTCCCGCCCCCTACTTAGGGGGCCGCTCTGATTTAAAAATGCCCGAGCCTAATTTTTTTCCCAGTCCAGCCCTGGCACACCCTAATGCAATAGGCTGCGCACGCCTATGGTGGCATCCGCCATCTTAGAGAGTTGCACCAGACAGCGTGTCGCACTGAGAGGGCCTCAGTTATTCCAGAGGTAATTAGGGGAAGTCAAGGAGCAAGACCTGGGAGAACCTTCACCAGTGGGGGGAAAAACAGGAGTCGGTTCTGTTTCCTCTGACTCCGGGGAGAACACTGGTGGAGAGACCAGCTGCCTGTTCTGCGAGATAGGCCTCGGGATCACCTCTTAAGCAAGCTTAATAAAGTAGAAATGGCACGAGCAATGAGCTTCCTAGTATACAGATTGTGGAGTACCTGTAATCTTGAGCAATTAGTTTACAAAAATGGACCAAATAATAAATTTTCTCATGGAGCTCACGCGAGATGCGACTGATCAGTATGGCAATTAGGCAACGCCGACTTTTTATAAAAAAATTCTTTATTAATTGTCTCACAGAACTGTTTAAAGGACTCCTTAAGTGAATATCTTTAAAATATATATTTTTTTCCTTTTGAAATGTATTATTCAGTAATTAATGCTGAAAGAAGTGGGAGTTAACATGGAAATACCAAAACAGCAGGGGAGCAGGTGAAAGACTTTAAGGTTGACAAATATCAGGACCATGAGGTAGGAACCTTAAAGGACCAGTTTGGGAACCATAACAACATCCTCAAAATGAAGTTATAGTCCTAAGAGGTCCCTGGCACTGGCTCACCTTTCAGGGTTAAACTATTCACAAGGGTTTTAGCAACTGTTCCAGTGTCAGATCATTCTGCCTCTTAGTCCCTCCACTATCTAAAATCTTAGATAAAGGAAGGCTCGGACAACTCACGCTCGAAGACAATTAGTAGCTCTATTCATTAAAAAAAAAAAAGTTTGCACCCTTTTTATGAATGGGGATTTACTGATTGGCTTAGATAGGCTCAGTGGGTCTTAGGGCTATGGTGGACTAAAGCTGCAATGTGTTTAATATTGCAGTACTATGTACGCCTTTTCCAATGCATCTCTATGAGGTGATACCAATTGGCCAGCGCAGTGTTTTGCTGTGCATGCGCAATAGCCTCCCAATACTTTCCTGTGGGAAAGCATTGGATTGGCTGAGAGTGCCAATTTTGATAATCTCAGACAAGGAGGCGGATCGGGGGCGGAGTCAGCACCAGCTGACCTGCACAGCACTGGAATAAAGTTGTGTAAAATCACCTTTTAAATAGGTTACAGTTGGGTCGGGTAACTAAATAGTGATATTACAGCTATAGTGACAATGAATAGATATTTGTATTCTTGTCACTATAGTGTTCCTTTAAGTTGGTCAAAGGAATACTATTAAGCATATGCCCTTTTCACCTTTTGAATGTTATCAGTGACTTATTAACAGTGGGTTATGGAACTTGGATGTTCCCAGAAATAAATAATCAGGTGTCAGCAGTATATAATTTATGTATATGATTGGAGAAAAATGCTTTTTTGGCTAAAAATATATTTATTTTTGTGACATTGACTCCAGTTTGCTGTTGGTTAATATATAAACTGACCTTCTGCTTTTTAATTCCAGCACAACTTCCCTCTGTGGTCCTAATGTGCTATCATCTGCGAAATGCATCACAAAACACCCTGCAGAACTCGCCGTTGGGGATAAATGTGATGATCAAATGAAAAATCTCTGAGCGTAAAATAAGCATAAATTTGCAGAGTGTTAAAAAACAAATTCAAACTAACACATAAATGAAGGATACCAAATGATACAGTATGTAACCCCTTCTGCCAAAATGGTTTTATGATAGCCAATGCAGAGACTATGTAGAAAATATAAGTTGTATAGCATACAGAAAGATTGCCATTAAATAATTACCAAGATTTGTACAATACCTAGCTTAGTATTTGCAAGGAGTTCCTCTTATGTTGTGAATGAAATTGGAAAAATTGGAAATATAAATATACACTGTCTGGTCCCGGGTGCTCGGGTCCAGCATGTTGCTGACAGAGTGGATAGATTATTGGGAGGGGCTGGGGATGACCCAGCGGTCATGGTCCATGTTGGTACCAATGACAAAGTAAGAGGAAGATGGAAGGTCCTAAAGAATGATTTCAGGGAATTAGGTAGCAAACTTAAGAAAAGGACCTCCAAGGTGGTATTCTGTGAGATATTACCTGTGCCACGTGCTACAGTGGAAAGGCAGCGGGAGATTAGAGAGGTCAATGCGTGGCTTAAGTCTTGGTGCAGGAAGGAGGGTTTGGGGTTTTTAGAGCACTGGGCCGACTTTGCGATTGGGTACAACCTTTATAGTGGTAATGGATTGCACCTAAACGGGAGAGGGTCTGCAGTGCTGGGGGATAGGATGGCTAGAAGGTTGGAGGAGATTTTAAACTAGTAGTAGGGGGGGAGGGTCATAGCAATCTACAAAATGGAGATAGGACAAAAAGGAGATGGGCTTTAGCACAGTATGGGGGGTGGAAACGGGGGGAGGGGCAAGCTCAGAACAGAGAAGCTGTGTAATGTTGAAAATTCACAAAATATACAAGTGACGCATAATATTAAATGTATGCTTACTAATGCAAGGAGCCTAAATAACAAAATGGGGGAACTAGAGGCATTAGCATACACTAAACAATATGATATAATAGGCATAACTGAAACATGGTGGGATGAGACACATGACTGGGCAGCTAACTTAAATGGGTACATGTTATTTAGGAAGGATAGGAAAAACAAGAAGGGTGGTGGGGTATGTTTGTATGTCAAACATGATTTAAAGCCAAATGTTAAGCAAATGGAATGCGAGGAGGATAATGTGGAAGCTTTATGGGTAAATATCTGCTTGGGGGAAAAGAAGGGAAACCAACTATTGATTGGGATATGTTATAAATCACCTAATGTTAATATTGACGAGGAACAACAGCTGTTTGAGCAAATTGAGAAAGCTGCAAATCTGGGTAACACTTTAATTATTGGAGATTTTAATTACCCGGATATAAATTGGGACAGAGGGACTAGTGCCTCAGCAAAGGGAATTAGGTTTTTAAACTTGTTAAATGACACCTTCATGTCACAACTTGTACAAGCACCAACTAGAATGGATGCTTGTCTGGACCTGGTTTTAACAAACAACGTTGATCTTTTGACCAACATTCAAATAGGTGAGGACTTGGGAAATAGTGATCACAATATAGTGTCCTTTGAAATTAACCTAAAAAAAACAAAAGCACATGGGGAATACTAAAACATATCATTTTAAAAAGGCCAATTTCAATAAGTTAAGGGAAGCTTTACAATATATTGACTGGCATAAACTCTTTAGTGAAAAGAACACTGAGGATAAATGGATCATCTTCCAACAAATATTACAAAGGTACATTTCTCAGTATGTACCATTGGGAAATAAATATAAAAGAAACAAATTAAAACCAATGTGGCTTAGTAGAGAAGTAAAACAAGAGATTACAACTAAGAAAAGGGCATTTAAAGCATTTAAATCGGACAAATCAGATGCATCTTATAAAAGATATAAGGATGCAAATAATGCGTGCAAAAAGGCAATTAGACTTGCTAAACTTCAAAATGAAATAATGATAGCTGAAGAGAGCAAAACCAACCCCAAAGCATTTTTTAAGTACATAAATTCTAAAAAAAAACTAAATGAAAGTGTAGGTACACTAAAAACTGAAACGGGGGTGTTAGTTAATGAAGACCAGGAAAAGGCAGGAATTTTAAATAACTATTTCTCCTCCATATATATTAAGGAAGAACCCATGGCAATAGATGTGCAAATGATTGCTACTAAAAACCTGCAGAATAATTGTAATTGGTTAACTCAAGACAATGTGCTGCAGCAACTAAAGAAAGTTAATATAAACAAAGCTCCAGGGCCTGACGGTATCCATCCACGTGTACTTAAGGAACTAAGTGCAGAAATAAGTGAACCTCTGTTTTTAATCTTTCAAGATTCTTTTCTTTCAGGAAGTGTTCCGGAGGATTGGAGGAAGGCAGATGTGGTTCCTATATTCAAAAAGGGTTCAAAATCCTTGCCTGGAAATTATAGACCTGTGAGCTTAACTTCTGTGGCTGGTAAAATATTTGAAAGGTTATTAAGGGATAATATTCAAGAATTCCTTGAGAAGAACATGGTTATCAGCAAAAATCAGCATGGTTTTATGAAGCACAGGTCATGTCAAACTAACTTGATTGCGTTCTACGAAGAAGTAAGTAGAAGTATAGATCAGGGTGTTGCCGTGGATGTGATCTATTTGGATTTTGCCAAGGCATTTGATACAGTTCCACACAATAGATTAGTGTTCAAACTCAAGGAAATCGGTCTAGATGAAAATGCTTGCTTAGAAATTGGCTTAAAAACAGAGTACAAAGAGTTGTCATTAATGGTAAATTTTCAAGCTGGACAGAGGTGGCAAGTGGTGTCCCTCAGGGGTCTGTTCTGGGACCCCTTCTATTTAACATGTTTATAAATGATCTTGAAGACCGCATTGAAAGTCATGTTTCAGTGTTTGCAGATGACACCAAACTTTGTAAAACAATACAATGTGAGCAAGATATTACTTTGCTGCCGAGGGATTTAGATAGACTGGGGGACTGGGCACTCAAGTGGCAGATGAAATTTAATGTTGAAAAATGCAAAGTTATGCACTTCGGCATAAAGAATACACAAGCAACGTATACCCTTAATGGAAGCGAATTAGGGATAACAACACATGAAAAGGACTTGGGAATTGTTATAGACAACAAACTATGCAACAATGTGCAATGTCAATCAGCAGTGGCCAAGGCCAGTAAGGTATTGTCATGCATGAAAAAGGGCATTCATTCTCGGGACAAGAATATAATTTTGCCTCTTTATAAATCACTGGTAAGACCCCATATTGAATATGCTGTGCAATTTTGGGCACCTGTTCTAAAGAAGGATATTATGGCACTAGAAAAAGTGCAGAGGCGGGCTACAAAATTAATAAAAGGAATGGAACATATCGGCTATGAAGAAAGGTTAACAAATTTAAACCTATTTAGTTTAGAAAAACGTCGCCTGAGAGGGGATATGATAACATTATACAAATATATTCGGGGCCAATACAAACCATTGTGTGGAAATCTATTCACAAACCGGACTTTACATAGGACACGAGGCCATGCGTTTAGACTGGAAGAAAGAAGATTTCGTCTAAGGCAAAGGAAAGGTTTTTTTACTGTAAGAACAATCAGGATGTGGAATTCTCTGCCTGAAGAAGTGGTTTTATCAGAGTCCATACAGATGTTCAAACGGCTACTAGATGCATACTTGCAAGAACAGAATATTCAAGGATATATATAATCTTTCAATGTAGGGTAATAACTGCTTGATCCAATGATATATCTGACTGCCATTCTGGGGTCAAGAAGGATTTTTTTTCCTATCTTGTTGCAAAATTGTGCTTCAAACTGGGTTTTTTTGCCTTCTTTTGGATCAACAGCAAAAAACAAATGTGAGGTAGGCTGAACTTGATGAACGCAAGTCTCTTTTCAGCTATGTAACTATGTAACTATGTTTAGGATGAAAATTCCTGATACTTACTCAGATACTTTCTTGTCACTCTCCTCCTTTCCAATGTCATCCAGCAGCGCAACATCACAGCTTAAGTGCAGAAATTAGTTGCTCAACTGGGGGAAGGCCAGTACAGGAGCGAAGAGGAATTTAAGTCTGTGAAAAACAAAATCAGCCCTGTACATACACATGATTGGCAATAAAGGGTTTATTTTGGGCTCAAGCCCCAATTTTTTGTTGATCCTAACAGGGAACATGAATAACGAATACATTTTTATTAATATTCAGATTTTGTAAATTAGCCTCTGAACTACTTTGAACGTGTTTCCAGGCCACCCAACTGTCCTTATTTTGGCATGACAGTCACTAATTTATGGTCCTGTTCAACCCTCCCAATTTAAGCCTCTCTTTAATATTTTGGATAAACTTTTAAAATTAAAGTATTTGGATACATTTTACAATGATTTAACATTTTGAAAAATAATACAATTTTGTAAGGTTTTGATATATTCTATATCATCCTGGCAACTGAGGAAAAAAATTGCCTTCCAATATGCCATCAATTTTTGTTGAAAAGGAAAAGAAAGGTCCCAGCATCCCAGCCTATCACATGACATATCATTGGAAAGCCCAGGACGTCCTCTTTACAATATAACAGGAATTGATAGAGTAGCTCCATAGAAAAAAATGAGATGCATGTGAACAAAATGTCCAGTACAGAGGACACAAGTTAATGGGCTGGGTCTCAGGAGGATATTATATATAATGATTTTTTTAAAAAGTTTTTCCTTATCCAACAATATTAAATCAAGGCTATAGTTCCCTGGCATCCAACATCTGAGTATACCAGGAGACTGTACGGGAGCATTGTATGGGAAAGCTGGGGTAGCTAGAGTTTTGAATGTGGGGCTCATTATCCCTGAATCGCTTTGCCACCAAAGGTAGACTGGAGATAGAATTGCTAGTTCTATGCTGCTCTCCCTGTCCAGGCTGCCATTGAGTGTTGACAGGGAGCTGGTGTTACGCTACTTGGGTGATTTGGCTTGGAACTCAACTGCAGCTTGTAAACCTCCCTAATTACATTAGTGAAGATACGGAGAAACTTTAAAGTATCAATACTGTAGCTTTAAGAAAAGAGAGAATCACTGGTAACTTGATTCAACCAAAGTTTTAATAAGTGTTATACTTAAATGAATTGCATTTAGGCAATAATCCAATAAGTGCAAGTAATCAACAACACAAAGTTCATTATTTAGTATTTTCTCAGAGATGCATTAAGTAACATTCTTAAGTTCATGAGACTAATCTTCAATAGAAACAATGGGCAAGTAGCTAAGAATATTTGCATAGCAAGAACAGTTCATAGTGAATAAGCATGATGGGAGTTGTCCTCCATATAATTAGTAGCTTGAAGCAGTGAAGATTTGAGTAAGCAAGCATTAGTTCATTAATAAATTATATTGTAGACAAATAGCTGAAAAATATACTTAAGGTTAATATGTGTAGTCCTCCAATAGTTCAGAGATATGGTCCACTTGTAAAGTAGCAAAGTATCCGTTCTCCAGTAATCGTTTATGGCATGCAGCAATCCTTGCATTGGCTCAAAGGCTGGAACGGCTTGTCTGAGCTTGTGGAGAGGTAAGTCTGGTGGAAGTAGCTCCGAGTATCACCAAGCCCCCTCTCTCTGGCACAGTCTCCCTAAATACCGTCAGAGGGGGGCGGGGTCCGGCTCCGCCCAGCGGAGTGCCGAACCCAGAAGTGTTACCGCATGACAGCTGGCGAAACTCAGAGCAGATTGGATAAGGAGAGGAACACAGAACAGCTAGTAATTCAGGCTGCATGTGGGGCCACAGAAATTTGTTGCTAAAGACCCTGCCTCTCTTTTGGGCAGCACAATTTCAATAGAAACACAGGGGACATGGCATCATATCCTTGTGCTTCTATCACTGTACTTTTCTAGACTTGGCCAGGCAAGGAGAATAGCAAAACTAGTGAGTCTATTACCCAAGGCACAGAGTGAGGGTAATAATGAAATATCTAACCAACAGCTGCTGCCTGCTCCCCCTCCTCCCACACCAAAAGTAACAGTATCGGAACTAGTGTCTATTTTTATAGTAAATATGCATGTGCGTGTACCTGCCTGTGCCTGGGTATGTATGTCTGTGCCTGTCTGTTTATGCGTGTTTGTCTATCTGTGAATGTGTGTCTGTATCGGTGCATGTCTGTGTGCCCTTTGTTAGTGCATGACCTTCTGTGTGTGTGCTTCTGTTCACTTGTGTGTACTAGAGTGTGCTTGCGTGTATCTGTTACTGTGTGTGTATATTTGTATGCCTGTGTGTTGGTCTTTCTATGGCTTTATAAATGCATCAGTAAATGTTTGTCTGAACCTGTGTGTGCCTGTAAGTATTTAACTATGGGTATGTGTCTGTATGGATGTATCTGTGAGTGTGTGTCTTTATGTATGTGTCCATGAGTGTGTAAACAGGTGTATCTTGCAGGTGTTAAAATGTTTGGGAGGGAGCAGGGGTGGGACTTTGGGGATCCATCAACAAGTTTTGGACTCAAGACCTGAGTATAATTGACTCTAGCAACTTTCCTGGCACTGTCTCTGGGCAGCACTGTGCAAGTGCATCAATAGAAATGCTTGAGTTGTACTACTAGGCTTTCAACAGATGCAACTAAATTGCTGAAATACACAACCAAATACTCAGCTTCAACATAATTAGCCACAACCTGCTGCAAATTTAGGTCAACCAGTTTTACCCAAATTAGAGAGAGATGCTGTATTTTAGACCTGTGGTAAATGAAAAAGCATGCATAATGTTGAAGTTTCTGATTTAATTGTGTCATTTGCTGGAATTTCGATGTTAGTAACTATAATAGCAGCTTTATTGAATCTTGGTTATCAATGTTGTGGTAAAAGATCTTAAGTTTTTTTTTTAATAACATTGATAACACCAATAGTGAAATCACAGAAGCAAATATGTTATATGTGATACATTCAAGCTGATCCCAGTGTCTTCTTAGAATTTCCACATCACATAGTTTGTTATATAATACTAAATTCTATACTTGGGAGAGTTTGACATTTAGAATGTGGTGAATTTGCGGTTTCGTCATGCTGAATTCTGCATGACATCCTGATTCAGCTTTCTTTACCTCAGTTTATACGTACATATATTTTTATGTATTACATTTGTTTCAATTCAAATGTGTGAAATTTCAGGAATTCACACAGAATTGAGAGCAAACTCAATGTTTAGCACCAAAAAAGACAGATAAGTCAGCTATTTTTACAATTATGGACTAAAGTGTTACTTACATTCAACTTACAAGTTGAATATTTAGTGAACATACTTGTGAGAGTTGCTGTGAGTCAATAGATTTTAAAATTACAGTATTACTTAGCAGTTTGCATTCAAAATTTTTATTTTGGGGCTGTCTGCTAGCGTATCACATGAGGGACTCCCGGTTGTGAGGCAATTTTTGGCCATCTAACTCACGCTGGGTGTCCTCACACTATGCATGAGGACATCCAGCGTCATCCAAAAACCCCATAGGAAAGTATTATACAACTCTTTCCTATGGGGGAAGTCCTAATGCGAGCACGGCGCTTGCCACACATGCGCATTTGGTCCCCCTGCCAGTTGACATTGGCGGAACGGAGGCGGAGCCTGAACCAGCACCGAGGGGCATCGCCACTGGAATCAGGTAAGTGACAGAAGGTTTTTTTTAACCCTTTCTGCACCATGTGGGTGGCGGTGTGGGCAAGAGTGATGGGGACACTATAGGAAGCTATACTAGGAAAACAACTTTGATGATAGTCCTTTGCTCTTTTTCAGGTGGCTGCTAATCAAAGCATGTAAAAAGGTAATGTAAAAGGAAAAAGTACTAATATTTGTACTTGACCAGACTAGCAGGAGTGGAGAAGCATGATCTCACCCAGATTCCATTTGGAAAGGGTGTGATGGCTGTTGATCATCCTAAAACACCTCCTTGTTACACTGGCAAGACTCATATCTTTATAAGTCCCATTAAATTCTCACCCTCACTACACCTGAGACACAGGAGTGATTGGGTGTAAATATTAGGACGAGGAGAGGGTGACACACGGGTGGGAAGAGTTGAGCGACACAATGGAACTGGGTTGGCGGATAATTTGGAGGGCTCACTGGGGAGAGGAAATAGTGTTACTGGAAGAGCTAATGCTGATGCTATGGTGAAGTGAGGAGAAGTGGGGGCACTGCTCTGGAGAACGGGAAGGGTGAGTGGGTGTTTTTTGAATGGTGATGAGTTCTTAATGGGGCACAATCTAAGGAAGGGCAATAGATTTGGGCGGACTAGATGGGCCAAATGGTTCTTATCTGCCGTCACATTCTATGTTTCTATGTTTCTCTTTAGATCTAAACAGGGGCAGATTTAAGCAACCTCTAAGGGGTCAATGGTTGTGTAAAATAAATATGTAGAGTTTTTGGAGGGGCTAAGGCTGAAGATTTGAGTTTTTATCTGTTTGTAAACCCATGGTATTGTTTGAACCAAATCTGTCCCATGCCACTGAGGCACTTTTGGGTGATAGATGCCGCCATATTACCAGCATTCACTGTATGTCATGGCTCCCTGTGCTCCTGGGATACATGACAAGAATCATGGGACCAGATATTTTCTTCAAATGCCAGGTTGCTCAGAAAAAAATAATAATAAACACTCACTCATTTACTTGATAATTTCAATGTAGGGTTTCACCAAATGGATAATCTTCTGAAAAATAATTATGTGCAGCAATGTAAAGAGAATCACAATAAACAGGGCATCAGAGTGATCGTGATCAATTAAATTCTCACTTGTGTCTTGTGGTTACATTTTGCAAAAACATTGACAACTACCGAGACTGATGTATAATATCTGAGAATTAGCTGTTTATATGGACATTATTATTATTGCCATTTATATAGCACCAACAGATTCCGTAGCGCTTTACAAATATTATAAGAAGGGGGAATTTTACTATAAATAGGACTGTGACAAACACCCTTTTTTACATGAGTTTGCCACTAGCTTCTGGAGGAGCCTGTTTGCCAGCCTCCTGCCCACAGACTATGGACCCTGTGAAATATAATGTTAAAAAGACTCTGTTCTTGCAATTGGGATTATGTGGTTCAGTTACCGAACAACTGCATGAACCAGAGACCACCCTGGAGCTTGTTAACACCTATTAACAACTTGGAACATCTCTTACCGCAGTGTTCTAATTGTCTGTGTGGCCGCAATTCCTATGGACAACCACGAGGTGGCGGCCATCTTGTTCACATGAACGCAGGCAGCGGTGTTTGGGCATGAATCTCATGGAACTAAAATCGGACACAGAAACTCCTGAAAACCGCTGGACTTCCATCATCGCCTTCGTTCGGTTCTATACAACTTAGAAGGGCACTGTTCGGTGAAATAATTTGTCTGGATTAGTGGAACAAGCTCCAGGGTAAGACTATTGACTTTGTTCAGTAATTTGTTCATTTTCAAACTACTGAACTAGACCGGCCGAAAGCCCTGATTCTCTGGAACTGTTTTGGGCATGGGACCATGCCTGTGGTCGGTCAAATAAATGACTTCCAGGGAATTCCTGAACCCCTGAACTGATCTGTGTGATTTATGGATATGTTGGTCACCCAGCTCAGGGCTATCAGGGGATCTGACTTTTTGGGGGGTTTATGTGTTTTTGGGGTGTTTGAGAAAAGGTGTTTTTTTTCTGTACTTGGAGATAATTGGATTAGATTAGTACAGTTCCTGATCCAATTATCTCCCAGGCAGAGGGGAGGGATTGTATGTTTGTATATGGGAGTGTCATGCATTTAAACACCTATATCATTGGTTTGTAACTTTATATTGTAGTTCCCCTCAAGGTCCATGTGGGAGTACCCCTTGCATGGGGACTTGCATAAAAGGCCAGTGTGGCTACCAATACATCAGTTCCTGCATACCCTCGTCTCATGTGTGGGGGAAACGGCTGTATCTACCCTGGGGATTGCTATATCACTATACTCCCCTGGGATTATAATCACTAACTCTCATAAGAGCTGTTCCTGCTATACCCACTGGAAGCTGGATTCTGGTCTTGGGTCCAGGGTGGGTGGAGGACAGCGAGTTCCCAGCGAGCAGCAGACAGGAGAAGGTCACATGCAGAGCGGAGAGACCGAGAAGGGGAATCAGTGAAGAGATGTAGCAGGGGCTAGAATTGTTCAATGCTTTTTATAGGTATGGGTTAGCACTTTGAATTGACTCCTATAGGATACAGGAAGCCAATGTAAGGACTGAAAGAGGGGTGAGGTGTGAGAGGACCGACTAGAGAGGAAAATCAGTCTGACGGCAGCATTCATTACAGACTGCAGCAGGGCAATACGGCTTTTGGGAAGACCAATTAGGAGAGGGTTACAATAATCCATGGGGGAAATTACTAGAGCATAGACAAGCTCCTTGGTAGCCTGCTCGTGGTTATGTTATTTCCTGGAATACTGAGTTTGTTTTAGAGCAAACAATGTCCCATTCAATCTCTGATCTGGCTGGCCATGAATTCCCTTTAAATTCTCACGTTAGTATATAACGCTGACAGTAGGATGTTTTGAAGTAGAGCAAGTTGAATATTGTGTAACTGGGGTCCTGCAAAAACATATTCAACAGTTCGAGTGATCACAGGCAACAAACAGTAAAATCCCATTAGTTTATCTTTTCCATCTTTTTGATCACTGTGAAAATTGCCAAGATTTAATCCCTCAGATACTAGTGTATTACCCCATGGGAAACCTGGAATACTCTTATCTCTGCTAATTATTCAAGCATTTTGAAGATGCAACTTAAAAGTATTTTTTTCAAATTGGACATTAATGTCCGCTGTGGGTGACTATTTCCATGGTGTTTCTATGTAATGTTCTATTTACTGCGCTCTATTTAATTGCTGTTGCAAATCACAGAAGGCGACATGCTGAGTCTGAGGAGACTCCACTTAAAAGCATGACATACTTTTGGCAAATATGCAAATTAATAGTAAATTCATTTATTTTTTTCCCCACACATCATTAGATTTTGAGGGTAAATTAAAGAATGCATTTGATTTTTAACCCCCTCTCCCTCCGGACCTAGCTATAGTTTACTCTCTCGGACATACATCTCGACTTGACAAAGGCTCCAAGGAGCAGAAACGTTGTTTTTGTTCTGCACTTTATGATAAAGCTGCCTACTGAAGAAACCACCAGGTGTGCCCTGATCTACATTATTCTACACAGCTCGACTGTCTACATCCTCGGGTAGTGCCTTATTGTACTGCAGTGTATCTTGCTTTAGAAATCAAAATCAGATTGGCACAGAAAAATACACCTGCATGCACACTATACATAAAAATAAAGATATGTGGTCACAAAAGCATACAAGTATTATACAACATGCAAGACACAAGCTTAAAACATGTATATAGACTTCAAGATAGCCACCAGAGAATGTCGTCTGAGTGTTCAGATTTCTATTAGTTTTTGTTGGACATTCATGGTCATGAACACCTGTCTATAAAATATTTGTAATACTTTTTGCTTGAATTCAGGACTGTTTGCCACTTGCGTTGACGACAGCATTAAACTGTTGGGGGGAACCTTTTTCCTACGTAGTCTTCATTTCTTTGTCACCTCTAGCTGGAAATTTATATGAGACACGCACAGCATGATGTTGAAATGAAAACAAGAACATGACATTTTAAATATCTTAGCTTCTCATCGGGTCTGACAAGAACCATGTAAACATTTGAGAGTGATATAAAATGTACATCTTTGATTTTTTCTAGATATAGTTTTGTACACGTTTAACCTCTAAATATTATCATTGTAAAACAGTATTTACTTTGAATAAATACTAGCTTGTTTTTTTTCTCTATAGTAAATTTTATTTTGTACTCTTAACATCTGCAGATATATAATTATTTTATTAACTGGAGCTTTTAAAGTACTTTGGTGCTGGATGGAACTTGACTGCATTTTTTATGTCTTGAAAAATAGAGCAGTTTTTGCTACATAAATCATTGCAAAAAATGTGGATCATTTTGTCTCCTGACTTGAGTACATATTTATAGTGTATCTTTGATAAGCATGTTATGTTAGGGTGGGTATATTGTCAAAGAGAACCAGTGTAGCATACTGTTTGTGTAACTATTGGAAATGTGTTTTTTTTCCCCAAAGAGACTGACCTAGAGCCAATGGCCTCCTACCACTTATGATGTTCCACCAGAACAGGGTAACATCAAACGAGCTGGACTTCTCATTTAGGCCTCGATTTTTAATAAGCTTTTTAAATAATTCAATACTATTAGAAAAACATTCCAAAAGATTTATCCAAAAGTTTCACCATTCACCGTTGTAGATAAATTATTTTTTAAGTTGTAAATTGCGTAAGACTATACCGGGTTTCGTCGTTTTGCACTTCCTTCAAGAAGAAAGGTTTGCATAAGAAAGGTTTGCATTGTACACACTGTTGGTGAAGATCGGGAGTCTGTAGCCAATGACAGTGCTTAAAGAAACACTAAAGGCACTCAATGAAGTGGTCTGGGTGCCAGGTCCCTCTAGGGTTAACCCTGCCTGCTGTAAACATAGCAGTTTCAGAGAAACTGCTATGTTTACACTAGGGTTAATCCAGCCTCTAGTGGCTGTCTCATTGACAGCCGCTAGAGGCGCTTCCGCGCTTCTCACTGTGATTTTCACAGTGAGAAGACGCCAGCGTCCCTAGGAAAGCATTGAGAATGCTTTCCTATGGACTGTCTGAATGCGCGCACGGATCTTGCCATGCATGTGCATTCAGCCGATGACGTCCAAAGGAGGAGGAGAGTCCCCAGCACCAAGGGAGCCTGGCGCTGGAGAAAGGTAAGTGATTACCCCCTTCCTCCAACTTCAGCCTGGCAGGAGGGGGCCCATGAGGGTGGGGGCACCCTCACGGCACTATAGTGCCAGGAAAACAAGTTTGTTTTCCTGGCACGATAGTGGTCCTTTAAAGGACCATGAAAAACAGTTACATCTCGATGACATATGTAACAGCAATATTTATATTTACATTTCATGTCAACTTACAATTAGCTGTGACAAAACGGGAACAATGTCGTTCAGCAACAAGCAGTATCTGATTATCCCATAGAAGGTTTATAACCATAGATTTGTGTTCCAAATGA